ACATGCTCCCACATGCTCCCACATGCTCCCACACAATCTCACACGCTCCCACAAACTCCCATGCAATCCCACACGCTCCCACACAATCCCACATGATCCCACAGGATCCCACACGCTCCAATGTGGTCCCACAAGCTCCCACATGATCCCACAAGCTCCCACATGATCCGCACTGCTCACCTCTGTTTACTCTCTGCTTGGCCCCAGATAGAATCCCAGGTGTATCGATGATACTGATGCTTTCCAGGACTTGACTGGGCATCTGAGCACACTGAAACCTAAGAGAGAGGGAGACGTGAGAAGGATTCTTCATATCAGAAAAAGGGCAGCAAAATAATATAAATTACAGCCGACTCTTCTACATAGTGGCAGTCAGGGGCAATATACTGAAACCGCGATCGGGAAAGACGCAGTGTAGAAGGGTCGATTGTACTGAAGAAGGGTCGATTGTACTGTTGTTTCTTAACCAAATGTTCAAAAATAGCTATATATTATACTGTACGTGTCTAAACAGTTGTTGGTATTTCTGGATAGAGCTTGATATTGGAGCAGTGGGAGCTACTTTTACAAAAAAAATCCTGGGGTCTACAGAGATTTTGGCTCTATGGGAGGGGTGAGGGGGTCCCCCCCCTTGATATATTTTGCCATCTGGAGGGGGGCAAGTGGTATTATTGTCATGATCGACTAGTAATGTCTGGAAGATTGACATGTTGATCAGAATTGACTGGTGGAGCAATTGTTAAAGCTACAGTGGTGACCACTGCACGGGAGCAATTGTTAAAGTTACAGTGGTGACCACTGCACGGGAGCAATTGTTAAAGTCACTTACTTGGATTTGGCACAAATACAATATTACATACATTCAATGGCCTTATTATGCTTCAGAGAACAGGACCATCACCATATAGCACCAATTAACCATATAATGTTTTTAATATATTTAAACACTAACAAAAATTGGACATCTTCATGAATGCATCTTGAGCATAATGAATCATCAACTGAACCTTCAATAACAACACAATAATAAAGTCTCACAGGTATCTATTTCACCAGCTTTAGTCCATTGTGTGCAAGAGGCCCTTTCATATACAACTTCCTGAAGGAAAAACACACTCAGCATCACTGCCAAAATGAAACAATACTGAATGCTCAACATCTACCCAAGACAACTTCCCGGTCTAATCTGCCTTCACTAGCAGCCGCTGTCACATAGACTTAAAGATCATAAGACTAAAGAGCTAACAAGCTAAATGTGCCAGCAGATGTACCTTAGAGCCTTGCACACAAAGCAGTCTTATTTAATCTAAAATATGCCACTCGGCAGAATAATACACGCTGAATTATACAGGCTGCAAAGGGAGAGGCTGTTTCCCAGAGATTCTTAAAAGCCAATATGGAGCAGAAGTTTAGCAAGCAATGCTGCCAGCACTGGGAACCAGCGGCTCGAAGATAAACAGTCTGAATCACTGCTGTTGTATCACCCTTTAGCCGATTTAGCTCTATTAACTCAATCCACTGCAGTTCTTATCATTCAAGAGTAATTTAACAAGCTTTTCCTTTAAATGCCAAAGCATTTTTTGCTCTCTAGAACAGTGTTTCCCAGTCTGGTCCTCATAAACCCCCAGCCAGTCCACATTTTTGCTCCCTCCCAATTTTCTACCAGATAGGCCAAATTTTTGCTCCCTCACAGCTCCCAGTTCCTTGCCAGACAGTTTACATCTTTACTCCCTCCCTACCAGGAGCTGGGAGGGAGCAAAAATGTGGACTGTCTATGGATCCCCAAGGACTGGATTTCTCAGTCCTTCCACAAGATAAGCCCCTCCCTATAGAGAGTACAGGAAAACACAGGCTTTGCATTCCTCAGGGCAGAAGATTAATAACATTTCTCTGCAATCCATCCCCCTCGTTCCACTGCCCCACAGACAGATTCCGGTTCAGCCTCAGTCTCTCTCACGTTTCCCTCCATCGGCCTCCTTGCACAATTCTCCCTTACCGGTTGAGGAAAGTGTTGCCAAATGGATTGAGCTTCCGGAAGGGCTTGTTGGGGTCGACGATGAGGGCGTTCCCTGGGATGAGGCCTTCCACATCTCCATGCATGATGGCGGTGAAGCAGTCGGTGGTCGGCTCTGGGCCCACACGGCTGCCTGGGTAGTCCTGCTCCAACAGGTACCTGGAAACCACATTATCTCAGTTTATAATCAAGCTGGTATCTACAGCTGAACAACAGAGATAGAGCAGACCACAGTTCTGCTATGTTTACAGATGACCAGATATCACTGCAGTACATCCACAACTATTCAGATTTTTTTTTTAATTTCAGGTATTTTACATATGCATGTTTAAATATATTTTAATCAAAGTTCGAAGTTCTTTATTTGTCACATGAAGTGATACTCGTACAACGTACAGTGAAATGCTTGTCCTGGCACTGTGCTGTATAGACAGGGAATATATTATTCTAGGTATTACACGTCTATAACATAATATGTATTATCAAAGAAATCAATGATAAATTTGCAGAATTGTAAATCAAAATGTATTACCCGACAGAATCATTAACTCCATAAGTGACAGAAAAATGCATAAAAATGTATAGGAAGTGATGGTTTGATAGAAGTAAATCAACAATCCAAAGAATACGGAGCACCAACAAAAGGCTTCGCTTGCCACACAAACAGCACATGCGCAAGGTTAATAATCACCTGATCAAGGTCGTCTTGCCTGTGGAGTACTGGCCCACCACCAGCACCATGGGCTTGTTGTCAAAGTCGGCGTCCTCCAGACTCGGGGAGTGAAAGTCATGGAAGCCGTAATGTTTCTCGATGGGCAGGAGCTTCTTACGGTACAGAGACCGGAGCCCTTCTGTCACGGTCCGCACCACTTCCGTCGTTTTGTCATTTTTGTTTTTACGCGCCCAGCGGGACATGATGGTCAGTGGATTGAGGTGATATGAAAGGTACAAAGGGGCCCGTTGACAGTTACCTTCTTACTGAGGTATTCGCAAATGCAGTGTCAATATTAAGGTACTGAAGACCGCCTTCTCTTTCTAAAACTACAGCAGTTCTCTCTGGATTCCCAGCGTCTCCTCTTTAATTGTGTTGTAATCTCCAACAATGTGTCTTTGATGACATCTGGAAATAAATCAAACATTTAATCTTTAAATAAATACTTTCTTCATGCCTGTAGATAAACCTTCATAGATCTCTGTCTATTGAGAGAACAAATGCTGGACCGGGAGCCTTTTTTACTCCACTGCACAAACATCTGGTCCCCTAAGATCAGTTGCTCATGTTAATGTCTTTGTGATGTTTCGGGGAAAAAAAAATCCCAGTGAAGAGATCATGAGGGAACAACCCACACTAGGAATCACACTTGAAATCCGCAAACTTGTGTCGTGACTAGATACGCACAATCGATACACACTGAGAACGCAGCCATCACACGAAACTGCAGAGTGATCATACAGCCGGCCCAATCACAGACCTAGGAGCGGCCTGCAGCAGAGGGGGTGGGGTGTGGTTAGCTATAGCCACTGGCATATGTGCATGCCTGCTTTGCATGACTTTTAACTTGAAAGAGCCGCAGTCAGGGTGGGGTTAATGGGACTAGTGACAGGGTACTGGCTGAAAGCCCTGGAGGAGACTTGGTTTTACGCCAACAAGATACTTAACATGACGCGCTTTGGTCAAATATCCAGCTGCACTCAAAGCTATGAGAGTTATAAAGAGGGGAAGAAGCACAGATATGAAAAATAGGTTCTTACGTAAAAACGAAGTAAATCAAAACGGAAAGGCCAGGAGCTGGGAAAACAGGAGTGAAACTGAGAAAATTACCACGGTGAAAGGAAGGAAAAGGGATAGAGGAGGAGGAGGGAGAAAGGGCTAACAGGCAGCCTTTTGCATAGAACCTCATGGAAAAAACACTGAGCTGTGAAGCTTCGTCAAAAACAAAAAAGTTAAACAGCACCAGCTTAAGAAATACAAACTATATATAGTTTTTTTTTTTTTTTTTTTTTTTTGAAAAAGCTGAACATCCAGAAGTTCATACCTTAAAAGGTAAAAGCAATAACTTCACGGATTAGCAGGCTAGTTTGAACTTGATTTCAGTGACCGGACACTGCAAAACAGTGAAGTTCATCTAAGAGACACTTAAGTTCTAAACAAACAAACAAAAAAACATGTACTTTGTAGTTACTGCATGGGGAAAAAGTGCACGTTAATAAAAAGTACAAAAAAAATAAAGGCTTCCTGTCATCCTTTGATGTTAGAAGCCTCGCAATTTTCTTTCTCTTTCTACATAATACAATTAGAAGTAAATTTTACGGACACTGCTGAGTTGCCCAAGAGAAGGATCACGATGCCAACTGAGGAAGGATAATACTTAACAGAAAACAGAATGCGTTAAAAAACTAAAATAATTATGTTACAGGTATTACAGTTAATGCTGCCTCTTCATTGATTGTGAAGATTGACTTCTTACCTGCCAGCATAAGTGTGGTTCCAAGTCGTGTGACAAGGAGCAGCACACGCTCACCTGGAATATTTTCTTTTGTTAAAATACTTTTAAAAGAACAAACTGGTGATTCTTTGGAAGCAAATTTTCTAAATTGAATCAGAGCAGAGAGTGCACCCCTGTTAGGCACTGAAAGGAAACACAGACCTTCTTCAGATTCCTCTATTTAAACACGGCACTGGGGAATGCCTTGGAAAAAGTGCGTCTGTGATTGGGGGGTGCGAGGCGGGACAGCGGGTGGGGGGGGGGGGGGGGGTGAACGATGCATCGAAGGGCATGGAGTCAAGGCGATTGGCTGTGTTTACAGTGCAACAATGTAGCTGAATATAATGGATAACACTTTGTAGGCAGTCTTAGAACACTAATACAACAAAAGTCATCGTTTTATACTTCAAAAAGGGTGTCTGCCATAGAGCAGTGGAATCTGTTGCCACAAGCCATGTTTAGGGGGAAGAAAGGAAAAAAAGATTCCTTCCCACCCTATCCAGCTCTTGTGACTCATGCCACCTATTTATATTTGCTACAAGCTGGCAAGCGCCCCCTAGTGGCGGTGAACCAAGTTATATGCTGGATGATTAAATGGAGAACCTACCAATGGGCTAAGTAATGTCCAACGAACACAGTGGCCAATCCAGTGGTGTTTTTTGGATGTATGTGAGAGTTAATCTTCTAATGGATTTTCACCGGAGAAAAACTTCACTTATTTGCAATGTATTCCTTAAAAGCATCCTGTGATCAAACACACTTTTACTGCATAACAATATGACAATTTAAACAAACATATGTTTTTAAAAAGCATGGTTTAATTTACAGTTTACTAAATGTACAGTTTTTTTTAAAAAAAAGTTTGTCATTATACACAATAAATACAGTACAAAATTAATCTGTAGTACTATATTTCAAATTCTCTTAAATTTTTAAATGTACTTTAGTATTTTTTATTTGTTGTTTATGCTTTTTTGTAATTGTCCAAAAGATTTAGCAGAGGTACCAGAGACAAGGGGGGTGATCATGTTCAAGCCAGAAAACTGGGAGAGGAAAGGGGGGGTCAGTAAAAAATTAAAAAAATAATAAAGTGACGGTTCAATTTGTGACTTTTTCCCCACCCAAGTTTTAAATGTCATAAATGCACCTTCCGCATGCTCTGTCCAGCAGGCCCCACAGCAGAATTTTGTTTGCTAGCGAGTAGCTAATCTGCGAAGCAGCAGCACACAGCAAACAAAAGGAACGTGAAATACACCCAATCCAGGTAACAAGTACTCAGTCCATATGCATAGGCAGGGGGCCCTGCCTATACATGCATTTTCCTGTATTATCATTCATCTTCCTGACAGTTGCCCTACAACACTTGCATTCTTCTTCTGAACTCCATTAGTGCTGTTGGCCAATTCACAGGTTCCATTGATCAATTTCTAGCTGAACAAAACTTTAGGAGTGCACTATGTATATATTCAGCACATTAAATTTCTAAAAACTGAAACGGGACTCATTTGAGGGCTAATTTAAGCCAAATTAAACAGCCACTGCACTTTTACTATTCTTGTGCCCTCTTGTGGTCATAGACATAAACTACACCGGTATAACATTCACAAAATATAGAACATCAAGTCAGTACCCAACAGTGCATCGGCAAGATTAGAGAGTAACTTAGTTAAGACAAAATATACCCTCTTATGCCAAAAAAAACCCCAACTGGACTGGAAAACTACAGCCAAGATGGCCTCCCTGCGATCATTGCATGATTCCTGACAGAGTTTAATGGAAACCAGATGGCAAACAGGAGCACGAGAATGTAGGTTTTGCATCTTGGCCGCGCAGCCTCAGAAATGGCGCAGGCACAAAGGTAAGGAAACGACACTGCAGCAGAGAGAGGCAGCATGACAGACCAGACGACTGAAACACAGAATGACCGACTGGTAAATAAAATGGTCAGGGTTATCTCCTTCCCACAAAAAAAAAAAATTACACAGAGGAAAAATAAGCCTTTTCTGAATGCTGTGTGCGATGATCAGTGTGATGGAAGCACCTTCAGACAGTGTTCCACATTCTAAACATACTGCGATCACGATTGGATTAAAAAAAAAAAAAAAACATGTGAAATTAGGGCAGAGGAAGCCTCAGAGGGGACAAGGACAGAAAACAGAACCTCAGAATGGTGAAAAGCAAGAGGAATGATAGGGGGCAAACAATAGAGAAATGGGAAGTAGGACACTGGAATTAGGGCAACGTTTCATTCCTTCAGTCTAAAGGTGCCACAAGAGGCACCAAACAGACAAGAACCCATTAAGAATGTGTGCAAAATAAATAAAAAAAAATACATTTACTCAGCTAAGCACAGGATTCAAATTTGTCCTCATTTTCTATGACCTGCATATCTCTGTTAACTACATAATGTACACTGCAAAAACTATAATTCATCATCGGAGGTTTAATTCTGCAATAAATATTTAATCACCCTTCCGTAATATTTGGATTTTTTGGGGGGGGGGGAAGAAAACATCGATTTTACACCTAACCAAACTCGAGGATGTCGGCAGGAGCACTGCTGATTTAGAGTTAGTTGGGAAGCTGAAAGTTTTTTGATGCGGCAAGTGTGCAATTTCCCCGGGAAAACATCACTTTCAGAGCTATTCTGTTCCACGACACTAGTTGAGCCAGGATGCGTCATCCTCAGAAGGGAGAGCTTTATACCATTTGATACAATGAAGTGACACCACTGGATTTTCTGCTGTTTGGCAGACTATAGCACAAAGACATGGATTGGAAACTATAATCAGTTTCGCTTTACCTTTTGAAAATAATATTTTCTCTCTTTTTTTTTTTAAACTAGAGAGTTATGTTCAAATTAGGCCTACCTTAAGGCAGAATTTCTCAAAAATAAACTGAAAGAAACTGCTGGACAGAGCATTTCGATGTACTGTGCACGACCCCCACCGCCCCTCTCAAGAAGCTCCTTGTCTCTTCCCGTTTCCTGCTGCATCAGGGCACCGTTATCTACTGTATGTCCGTGACACCAGCTTGCCGTTCTGCCCCCTGGAGAAGGTCCCGCTGCCGTCCCCCGGCAGGCCCTGGAAGACGGAAGGGGATGCCGACGACCCCACGGCTCTGTAGGAGCTACCTGAAGGGTGGGGGTGATTCGACCCCTGACCCCTCCCTGTGTTTACGCTGGTGCTACCATTACTGCTACTACCGGTGCACGTGGGGGGGGGACCTTGCTGCAAGTTTAATATGCTGTCTATGGCACTCTGCAGGTGCTCGTTAAGAGAGTCGTCAGGGGGGGGGCTGCCACTGGAGAAGCTGGCGTTGTCCATGTCTGGCGAGTCCGACTTGTGCCGCTTCGACGGGACAAAGGAGTCCCAGGAGCCTTGGGAGCCGGTGGGAGAAGGGGAACCAAGGCGATCGGCCGGGATGGACCGCTCCCTGCTCCTGACGCCCCTTCCTCTGTCACCATCCCCCTCCTCTTCCTCCCCTCCCGAGTGGCGCAGACCATGCGACGCCCGCGAGCGGCGCTGATTTTTGATGCTGCGATTAAAAACTACCTCCACCTCTGCCAGCTCCTCTATGAACCCCGGGGGTGTCACCTTCCCCTGAGCATTAACGCTCCCCAAGCCTCCCCCATCACCTCCGCACTCCCCCCCCGCCTTCGTATTGGGAGATCTTTGGAACCTGCCGCCCCGGTTCTCCACTTTAACACTGGCTATGACGGTCCGAGTACGAGGCGAACGTGAGCCCTGCTGATGCACGGGAGAATCGGCGGGAAGGGGGGGGCAGTGGTGGCGACGGGCCGAGCCACCGGCCTCCCCCCCAGCCACACCGGGGCGCACCGGGGGGCTGATGTTTGCACGGTAGGTTTTCCGTAAAGGGAGCCGGCAGGACGTGGGGGGAGGGGTCGAGGAGGCAGCTGCTTGGCTCCCAGATTTCCCATGATGCTCCAGCGTCCCATTCACTTGTGTTGACAAGGAAGATGATGAGCAGGAGGATGAGTTTGTGGTGGAGGGAGGTGCTACGTGCTGAGCGCCGGCCGTAGTGGGCACGCCGAGAGCAGAGGAGTCCGAGCCGCAGGTAGGAGTCCTGTTTGAGGTTGCCGTGGCGACAGCAGACTTGGACTGTTGGTGATGCGGGGGGGATTGTGGGTTTGAAGTGTGATGAAGCCGTGGCTGCGAATGGACGGGGTCCAGCGCGGTGTTGTGGACCACCTTGCTGAGCCCCGCCTCCTGCTTGATCTTCAGCTTCAAGCCGATCCGACGGCGCGCCTCGTACGTCTTGATAGGAGGCTTCTTGCTGCGCTGGGGGAGGGCGTCCTCGTCGTCGGCGCCGCCGGACGGGGGGGTGATGGCCGCCTTCTGGCAGCCGGCCGGCGTCGAGCTCGTCGACCAAGACACGGACGCGCCGCCTCCGCCGTGTTTGATCACCAGCTTGGTGGGCGTGACGTGAGATAGGATGGGAGCGGGTGCCAGATTCAGAGCCCCCGCTACTGGCTTGGTAGCCCCTGTGGTGCTGGGATCCGTAGGTGCGGGGCGCTGGGCCACAGCTGCACTCTGAAGGGCTGCATATTCATCTGCCATCGACAAAGAACATCAGAAAATAAATCCTCCATACACTCCAAGACCCCTTCTGTTCTTTTCACCGCTTCAAATTTTAGCACATTACTCATCTTCACATCAACACATAAACTGCCAAATGCAGAAAGTTCTGCCTTCAATTATTCATAGGAAAAAACATCTTAGAACCACGTATAAGATGTACAGCTCATCAAGAAATGTACCAAAAGTATTTTTTTGAGGTTCTGGAGTTGGACGTGGATTTCCTTGATAAGGATGTCGTTCAGATGAAATATTTGAGCCACAGAAAACAGATGAATCTGACAAACGTCAAGTAATCACAAGGAGCCAAGGTGTAGCAACTGGTGCAAAAGACAGCGATGCACTAAATTCCTTTGACGATCATCAAAGCTCTCAGACAAGATTTGAATAAAGTAAACAGAGCAAGCACAAGATTTTAGCAAAAACACTGAAGGAAATATGCCGGCATTGGTGGGGGTCAGGGGTTAAGTGCTCACGGCGACGTGATGTAAACATGAGCAACAAAGTTACCCGGCCTCTCCTTGGCCAGCACCCGCTCTTGGCTGAGAGCCGTCTTCTCCTCCATGATGAACATCCTGTCCATCATTACCATTTCGGCAGAAGGAGCCAGTCTCTGCACAT